AGCGGGAGACACTCACGACAGAGCTGCTGCGAGGCCGGGGCTGTTACCACCCCGGGCCCATTTGTACAGATGGGAAGACTGAGGCCCGCAGAGGCGAGGGGATTTGCCCAGGATCACACAGCACGTCAGCCCAAGCTTGCGACCCCCAGCCTTTGTCCCCTTCCATGCTGCTGGCCAGAGGGAGCACGAAAAAGGGAGACAGAGGGTGGCCGTGGACTCTAGGACTCCAGCGGCAGCTGGGGAAACGGAGGCAGCCCATGGCCGGGGGTGGGGCCTCCCAGCAGAGCCCATGCACCCCCACCCCAGGCTGCAGTCTGAGATGTGGAGAGGGGAGCCGCGGAGGCGGAGTCGGCATAACTGCGGGCCCGAGGGTGCACCAGGGCCGGGAGAGGGGGAAGGGCCGGGGACCAGACCGGGAGGCTCAGAGAGGAGGAGCGAGTTGCCTGAGGCTGAGCAGCAGTGGAGGGCAGAGCCCCGATGGGTCCAGAACTAAGACTCGTGGCTCTCAGCTTCCCAAGCAGGGTTGGGGTCTGAGTCTGTGCCGCATGCTGGCTGGGAGTGTGTTGGCAGGTGGGGGCTGGACCCTGGAGCCCCCGCTCCCCAGTATGTCTTGGGGAGGGGGTTATAGGATGTCAAACAGCCCGAGGGCAGTGCCAGGCACTGCAGGCCCTCCAGGGCCCAGATGTGCAGAGAGAGCAGCCCGGGGCTCCCCAGCATCTCCAGATTGCCAGAGCCACAGAGCATGGGCATTTGTGGGACCCGGGGCCACATGTGGTCCCTCCAGTAGCTGGGGGCGGGTTTCCTGCAGCAGGGCGTGGGCAGGGATTGAGGAGGAGCTGGAGAGGTGGCTGCGTCCCTTTCATCCTCAGCTAAGACCAGAATCAGCTGGGGACCCTCCTGGGCAGATCTGGTTGCTGCTGGCTCGCAGGGGCCACGGGGAGGCCGTTGCCCTCCCTCCCTGCCCGGGCCTCGGCAGTGAGTGCTGGGCTGGGACCAGGAGGCCAGGGCTCACACCTGGCTCTGCTTTACCCACTCTGAACCTCCCTCTCGTCTTCTGGCCTCACACACCTCCCAGGGAGCGTTCCTTCAGGGACCAGTTTTATCTAGAAAGGGCACCCTAAGGCAAAGAGACTGCCCCACATACCCTTGCAAACCCCAAATACTAAGCGTTCTGCCTTGCAAAGCTCCAGCCGGGATCCAGACAGGAATCGCTTGGTCAGGGTACCCCAGCAAGCAAACTCCAGGACTCCCTTCTTTGGGTTTTGGGTACCCCGTGGCCACCCTCTGTCAGTCCCAGCATGGACACTCCCACTCCCCAGTGCTCTGGAGCCTTGCATTTCCTCTCCTGCCCCCACCCCATATCCCACCCCAGGGGGAGGCTGGGAATGTCCTAACTGCTTCAGAAACCGAAGGTAATACATAGTGACCAGTAGGAGGCCTTGTCTGCTTAACTCTTCTCCAGGCCCCCAGCCCCCTGCCTCACCTCTGCATTATCAACCTCTACATGGGGGTCCCTCTCCCCAGCAGACGTCCTGGAAGAGGAAGGAAACCGAGGCAGGCCAGGGCATACTCTGGTTCTACATGCTTCTCATGGCCCCCTCTTGGCCAGTGGGCCCCAGCTGGTGTGGAGGAACCTTGGGGAGGGGGCCCCCAGCCCCCTGCCTGGGTAGGAAGGGGCTGGGGCTGGTACAAAGGCTGGCCAGCAGAGGAGCAGGGCAGGGGTGCCCAGGCAGGGGGCTCGGCACTGACAGAGGCTAGAGATGCTGGACAAACAGTTGAATGTGGGCTTTGTCCTGGGGGCCATGGGGAGCCATGGAAGGGTTTTGAGTGGGGGGGGAGGGGCACAGCCAGATCTGGGAATGAGAAAGAGCTTTCTGGGGCTGGTGTTGCTGGGGGACGTGGGACATGGAAGGGAGATGCCAGGTTGGTGAGAGGCTCCCAAGGGGGCCTGGGCTGTGGGAGCGGTGAGGCCCCAATCTGGGTGAATAGGGAGGGCCGCTCTGGGGGAGCCCCTGGCAGCGCTGTGTCAGCGGGACCGCCGGCCCCAGTTCCCTAGTGGGTCAGGCGCCCCCTCGCTGCTCCCTGCAGACCCTGCTCCCCCCCTCCTGGAGCCCCCATCCGAAGGGCTCAGAGCTTAGAGGCCTCTCGCATCTCACCCAGTCAGCACTTCTGCCTTCCCCCTTCGTTATTCCTGGGAGATTTGCTTTCCTCTGGCCCCCCAGTTCCACCCCCCCAGCCGACAGCAGCTTCTTCCCCTCCTCACACCCTTCCATCTTCTGTCTTCCTCTCCGCCACATCAGTGCCCCTCCCCCAGCCAATATCCTCTCCCCTGTCAGCATCCCCTCCCCCAGCAGCGTCCCTCCCCCCTGGTCAGTTACCTACCTTCTTCATCTCCCCCATCAATCCCCCCCAGTCCTGAGCCATCCATCACTTTGGTCCCCAGAGTGGGGTCCATGGGCCCATACACCTCTGCCCCCTCTCTGTTGTGATGGAACTCCCCCCTGGCCCGAGCATTTTACACCAGGATCCTTTCTGCCCAGAAACACATGACACCCATCCAGCAGATGAGTAAGTCAAGGTCCAGAGGGGCTAAGCCACATGCTAGAGCCACACTGATGGCTCCAGCCAGGCCAGGGGAGTCCAGAGCCGGGACCTCACTGCCCGCCCCCCCCACCCCGGCACCCCCGGCAGTCTCCCCCTCAGCCGAAGGGGAGGATGTTAAGTTGCTGGGACCAGAGGCCTGGGAGGGAGGAAGGAGGAAGGGCCGAGGGGAGGCCACCATGGGGGAGGGTCACGCCCAGAGTCTGTCTGGTTGCCAACAGAAACCAGACATGAGGTAATGGCCAAGATGAACTTGAACTTGGCTGGAGGTGGGGGGCTGGGAGCCAGGGCGCCAGTTCATTGGGATGGCCCATGGGGCAGCCTGGTTGGAGGGGCACAAGTGATTTACAGCAGGGGTGAGGGACAGCGCTGCTCCAGCCTCAGTCAGGGGGTGTCCCCAGGCTGGCCCCACGCAGGTGGATTGGACACATTCTCCAGGGAAAGGGCGTGTACGGTGGCTTCCCTGCGGAGACCCAGGCTGGAGCTGTCCCTCAGCCTGAGCCCCAGTCCCCCTATGGGAAGTGGAGCTTGTGACCCCTCAAGGGACAGGCTAGAGGTCAGACCCGGGCAGGGGCCAAGCAAGGGCTGGAACCAGGCAGGCCCGAGTTGGAATTCCACTCTGGCCCCCTGCGCCGTTGGACTTAGGCAAATTCCTTGACTTCTCTGAGCCCATATTTTCTTCGTTTTGAAACGGGGTGGTGGGGGGCATAGTCCCTCCTTCATGGGGAATCAGGGGAGGATCCTTAAATGGGAAAACGTTTGTTTAAAAAACGAAAGCAAACAGCCCTGGTCGCCGTGCTTGGACAAGGTGGCACTTCATAGCGACTCCGCATGTGGAGGGAAGCCCGGGGCGGAGCCACATCCTCTCCGTCTTTGTAGACTCAGAGCACCGAGGCGCAGAGATCTGGTTGTAAACAAAAGCTCCAGGATGCTCAGATAGATTTAAAGTCCAGATAGTCGAGAGATAAAAATAAGTTTGAAAAAATTGTCTCAGCATAAGTATATACCAGAAGTTGCACGGCATACGGGTTTCCCTGTGGTTTCTCCAGAAGTCAGTTGTCCCCGGGCACCCTGCGTTTGATCCAGCAGCCTTGTGCAGGGTCCCCTAGCAGGTTATGACACGTCTGGGGCCGGGGGACAGGGGCCCCGAGGAGGCGGGTGTGGGTGGTGGCCGGTGCGGTCGATGGTGGAGCCTGACCCCCGTTTCTCTCTCTCTCTCTCTCTCCTCTCTCCGTGTGTCCCTGTCGGGCACCCAGTCCTGGTATCTGGGATAAGAAAGATTTCTTCCCACGCCCTGCTCCTTCGTCGCGGGAATCCCAGGGGGCCGCATTGTCGGCCCCCGGCCCACGTTTTCAGTGGAAAGTTAGAGCGAGCGAGAACACCCCGCCGACTCCCAGCCTGGCCGAAAAGACAGAACAGACACACATACACAGGAGGGAAACAAGCAAAAAGGAAAAAAAGGCAAAAAAAAAAAAACAAACAGAAAAAAAACACCATAAAAATAAACCCACCCATCCAAGAAGACAAAAGGTAAAGACAGCAGCCCCTCAGAACTCTCGGGACGCCGCGGCCCGACCGGAGGGCCAGGCCCTGCCGCCGCTCACACACAGCCTGCGCAGGGCGCCCTCCGCAGGGACTCATCTCCGGCTGCTGGGCTCCAAGGGCAGGCGCCCGCTCCCCGCCTCCGCCCAGGACCAGGTGAGCGCGGCCCGGTGCCCCTGCCCAGGCCCCATGGGGCGGGACACCCGGCAAGGCCACCTCTCCCCGTGTCCCCACTGCCGGGATGTCAGCCAGGCCTCTGCCACCGTGTCTGCCGAGTGGGGAGGCGGGCGCTGTGGGGACGCTGGGGGGAGAGGGGGGCCGGCAAGGACCCCAGCGGCGGGCAGTGGAGGCCCAGGTGGGCAGGGAAGCGACAAGGGCAGAAGAGGGTTGTGGGGAGACCCTGGGTGTCGCCAGGGGACTGGAATGCGTGGCAGAAACTTTGTCAGGAGCGTCCTGCTGCCGTGGGACCTCCGCCTGCCCCACAGTGTGCGTGCGCGCTCGGCCGGGCTTGCTCAGGACTTGGTCTTGCAGCCCCATGCCTGCCCTGTTTGGGAGGAGAAGTCTCTATGCAATTGACCCCCAGCTCCACCCCGCAGCATAGGAGGCCACCCCACCCCGCACCCCGCTGGCCCTGCTCCACACCCCCCAGGGGAGGGACCCACGTTGCACACACTGTAAGAAATGCACTTTCCGAGGAAGGGGCTGGGGGGAGTGGAGGGACTCAGAGCTCCCCAGGAGGGGACACCCTGTCCGGAGCCTCCATCCACCCGAGCCCTGGGAGGGGAGGACCCCCCCGCTTAGCCCACGGAGGTGGGAGGTGAGAGCGAGTGGTTTAAGTGCCTGATTCCCACCACCCGCCCCCCTTTGTCCAGCTGGAATGGGAAGTGGCCGCGGGCCCCTTCCATTCCCTCCCCCAACCCGGCCACCTCCAGTCGCTGACCCTCATTGCTGTGCTCCCCTCAGAGCTGGAGAGATGGGACCCCCCCCTACAGTTGGCCCAAGGGGCAGAGCTGGGCATCCCTCAAGCCCTGCTGCGCTCGGGCACGGGGGTGGGGTCTGGGGAAGCCAGCAGGCCCTCCCTCGCCTCCTCTGCCAGTGCCTTACATCCTGGAGCGACACCCCCTCCCGGGTGCCTCCCAGCCCAAAGGGGGACCACGGTTTGCACTTTCATCTTCCCCCGCCGAAGTGGGGCACAGCCGGGCAGGTGCATCACAGCTGGGCCCCCACAAGGAAAGAAGGCCGGGCAACTGCAGTCCGTATAAGCCTGGATGGGGTTGGGGGCTTCTGGCTGGGGGAGGGTGGGGTCAGCGCCTGGGGGGTCCCCTGTGGCCATGTGGGGGACCTCCCATCTGCTAAACGTTTTCCGTTGAGCCGCTCCAAAAACACTAAGCTGGGGACACCGGGTGCCCCCCAACCCCGGCTCCCTGGCCCCATCCCCACCCCCACCCCAGGATGGCTATCTTGGGTGGGGGGCCTGGGAGGGGGGATCCCCTCCCATCCCATCCATCTGAGTCCCAGCCGGCCTCCTCCATGCCTGGCCCTGGGGAAGGCCTTCCCCACCAAGACTCCCCACCCCCTGGCCTGGGCCAAAGCCATCGCCCTGGGCTGGGCCTCCGCCTCATCTGCTCCCAGCCTGGCCCTCCTGGCCCTCTCCCGGTACCCCAGGCCTGGCCAGCCTCCTCCCACCTCCCCAGAAACTGGACTTTCCTCCCAAACCAGCCCAAGGGGCTTGGCAAACTCAACCATAAGAGAAAGACCCTTCCCCACCAACCCCCCTCCCATTGTCCAGAGGCATTCAAGAACCCTTGGTCCGTCCGTCTGTCCCCAGGGCCCCCTCCACTGGGTGGCTGTTGGGGACCAAAGCATGGGCCGCTCTCCGGGAGGGCAGGAGGGGGTGGGTCGTGCAGTTGGGGTATCCGGAAGCTTCTCAGCCGGGAACCTTAGGGTGCGGGTAGGCGGGGTAGGGGAGGGGCACCTGGCGGCCCCCAGCTACCTAACTTTGCATGGTGCTTAGTCGGGGATTCCTGTGACCTGGCTCCTGATGTCAGCTCGCGCGGCTGATACTGCATGGCAAATTATTCCTGGCTCTATCTCCCTCCCCCAGCCCTCCCCCAGCCCTCTGACACTACCCCCTCCTCTTTAAAAAAAAGAAAAAAAGATACAAAAAAAAAACCTTAAAAAAACTCCATGTTTCCTAATTTGCACGAAATTTTCTACCACATGATGTGCCTTGCCTTCCGAAAATAAGTATTACCTTTAAACAATATCAGCGCACACAGATAGCTGCATGCACTGCTCGTGTAGTTAAAAAAAAAACAAAAAGACAAAACAATGACATGAAATAAAAAATAAAAATTGAAGAGGGATGTATTTCTATTTGTAAAAAAAAAAAATAAGAATTAAAAAAAAAAAAGGAAAATCCCACGCTTAGAAAAGCAATCCACAGAACAGTCGCCCATGGTCTGCCCCCCACCCCCAGTTCTGTCCACAGCTCTGCTGCAGTGGGGGTATGCCCTGGTGCTCTGCCATCCCCAGCCCCACCGCTGGGCTCCAGAGGAGTCCCTTCCGAGGCCCCCGCCCACAGCAGCGGACAGACCTCAGGGGTGAGCCCTGGCCCCACGGGGTGGCCATCCTGCCTCCAGCCAGACTCCCCCATGCCACCTTTCCTGCAGGCTGGCCTCCCCCTGGCTCAGGGTCACATTGCCGCCCCCCAGGCTCCCCTCCTTTCCCCAGACCCCCCCTTCCTTCTTGCCAAAGGACTCGCCGGGCACCCCCCCCTCCTTGGAGACCGGCCTGGGGCGGCACTCCCCTCCTGCCCCCTCCCTGCCCCCAGCACCCACTTCTGTCTTCCAGCTGTGACTGGGGGGGGGGGCGGTTATCTGGGATGAAACAAACAGAAAACAGAAGCCAAACCCAATATATGCAATATCTGTCTGTCTGTCCCTATAGACCTAGCTCAGCCACCGCAGGCCCAGCCAGGGGCCCGCGGGCGCAGGGTTTGGCCCCTGGGCATGCATGGGCCTCCGTCTGGTGGCTGCCCGACCTGTTGTCTTGTCCTTGATTTCACGTCTGTCCTCTTATCTTTTGCTTCCTTTCTGTTTTTTCCTTTCTTTGTTGTTGTTGTTGGGTTTTTTTTTTTTCTTCCAATTTCCTTTGCTTTTTACTCGACCAAAGCTGAGACAGTAGCAGCTGGTTAGTGGGGTGTCCGAGGGCTGGGTCCATCCAGCTCCTGCCCCCCATGCATCTCCTGTGGGGACACGGCGGGCAGATGGTCGCCCCCCAGAGCAGGGAGGGGCCCCGTGGGCAGCCTGGCTTCCATCCACCATCACACACTCATCCCATGTCTTCTTTTAAAAAGACGCCTCCGCAAGTCCCGGGGGCCAGGTCCCACTGTCAGTGGCAGCCCCTAAGAACTGTCCTTTGGTCCGAGAGCTCAAGGCCCTGCGTGTCACGTTTCATGCGGCAGATTTCTGGGTTTTATTCTCTTCCCCCCAGAATTGGGGAGCAGACACCTGGGGAGGGGGGGAGCGTCCCGCCTGGGACACCTCCCCAACGGCTTCATGGGGACCACGTTGTCCCTCTGCAGCCTGCCCCCAGCTGTGTGCCCCGCTGAGTAGGTGGTGCCGTCTTGGGCCTGTGTGTCCCCCCCCGCCGCCCACCCCAGGAAAGGCCACAGGCAGAATAAGGCAGAAACACCGGGACCCAGACCGCTTCCCCCCTTCCCCAGCTCTGCAGTTCAGGTTGGTACTCCAGGCACGGGGCAGGGCGCACAGGGCGCTGTGTTGTTTTTTACATGTGTGAGACTAACATGTTCTCAAACCCCATCCCCTCCCACGCCTGCTGCCCCCCACCACCCATGGGAGGCCCCCCACCTGACCCTGGGGTCCAGCCGTGCTGTGGAACAGGACAGAGAGGCCTCCCAGATATATGCAAGTTGTCCTCACGCCTCTCTGGGACGAGAGCATGGGATCCTGACCAGGGTGGAAAATGAGGTGCGGAGGGGCCGGAAGACCCGGCCCTGTCTGAGGAGAAGGGGGTCAGGGGGCCCCCAGGCCTGGGTCCGCCACCCAGGCTCCTGCCGAGTTCTGAACCCAGACCCCCGCCCCCCGCCCTGAGCTAGACAATCAGACCCAAGAGGAACCCCGAAGGAGACGTGGGGGGGTGTCTGCACCCCCCCAAGCAGCAGACAATTCCAGCCTCAGCCCCACACATCCCGGTCTCTGCTCTGGAACCCTCTGTCTGTCCGCAGGGCCGGCAGCGGGGTAGGCGGGAGCCTGGGCTGGGAGCAGCTCCCGCCCTGTGCGCGCTGCGGCCCGAGGACCCTGTCCCCACTCTGGCTTCTCCCACGGTACTTTGACCCCCGGTGTAGGCTGTACTATACACACACACACATATATGTATAAATATATATAATTTTGGAGTTTTTCCTCGTGATACAGGTTATACAGTGGCTACTTTTTGTTTTGACCTGGATTCCCTGAGACCCCGGTTTCTACTTTTCTTCGCGGAGGGTGTTGGTAGAGAGGTCCCGCAGGCCCATCCTCACATCCAGCTTCCTCCGCATTACCCCGTCTTTCCCCGTTCCTGCCCCTCTGGACACGTGAGAGTGTCCCACCTCTGAACTGACCCGGCCTCCCCCGTCCGCCCGTCCCCGCGCTGGCCCCCACCCCCACCCCCCAGGCGGGGCAGGGAGCCAGACCCCAAGCCGTACCAGTGGGACTTGTTGCCAGCGATACCAAAACAAGACTTTCCCAAGCAGTGCCTCACATGTCTGCTGGTGTGGCTTTGGGGTTCTCCTCCCCTGTTCCCCAGGGCCCCCTCCCCAGGCCTCAGGAAAGAGGAGGTGGGATCCAACAGGAGTCAGGGCCGGACAGGAAGGAAGTCACGCACCCCCAAGCTACTGCCCTCCCCACAGCCCTCCACTCACACCTCCTGGCTAGAAGGGGACCCCTGGGAAGGGGACAGGAGCTGTCCCAGCCCCCTCCCATGGGAACCCCCAAAATCTACTCCCCAACACCCCATCCTCCCATGTTGGGTCCCAGCCAGGCCTCCAAAACCAAAGTCCCTTCAAATTCGGGGGTCCTGGCCTTTGCCCCCAGCTTCCTGCCCTCCCACCCCCAGGACCCCACATGGGGGAAGACAAGAGAGTCTGAGGGACAGAGCGCATAGCGCAGGGAGGAAGGACAGAGACCCACCTGACTGAGTTTCCTTTCTTTTTCCTTTTCTTTCCTTCCTTCCTTCCTTTCGCTCTTTGAAAAACTTTTTGGTGGTGTTGCTCTTCGTTTTCATTCTTTTCCCTCCAAGATATTTTTTGAGGTTCCCCCCCCATTTTGTATTTTACTGATATTACCAGGATAGTTTACTCTGTCTCTCGCTTCCTGCTTGCCACACACCGGATCTCTCTCTCTCTCTCTCACACACACACACACACACACACACACCCCATGCACACACACCCCATGCTCGTGACCCAGGTCAGGAGAAGGTCCAGGCTGGGTCTGCTGCCCGCCGCCCCCTTCCCCTCCGGGACGGGGACTGGGGGGATGCCTGGCAGACCAGCCGGACTCCTCCCTTGCCCGGCTCGCCCGCCTGCCCCCCCCTCACAGCATACTCTGGTCATAACCTTGTATATTACGCAGTCATTTCGGTTTTTGCAGACGCGCCTACCTAAGTACCATTTACAGAAAGTGACTCTGGCTGTTACTATTTTGTTTGTTTGTTTCCCTATGCAAAAAAAGAAAAAGAAAAAAAAAGAAAAAAATGAAACAAGGGGGGTTCCATAAAAGATTCAATAAAAAGCAAAAAAAAAAAGACAAAAGAAGGAAGAAAAAAATGTATAAAAATTAAACAAGCTATGCTTTGACTCTCACTAACTGTCCTGGGTCCTCCTTTCTGTGCTGTGTGGGTTGTTCGGTGCCAGAGTGAAGGGAAGGGGCTGAGACCTTTGTGCCCATCCAGTGGCCCCCAGGGGCCCTCCACAGTGCCCGGGGATGTTTGTTGACAGGGATGCTCCTGGGGTGCTGCGCAGCCCCCCACGGCACCTAGGGTGCCCCCGCAGAGAGCGATCTGGCCCCATGTCTGTGTCCGCAGAGCCCACAGGAGGGACCTGCTTTACACACTGACTTTGGTGAGCTCTGGGTCCAGGTCCTTCCTGCAATGCCCCTGGCGCTCCAGTGGTCCCCCCGCTCCTACAAGGGGCCATTTCACACCCCTGAACCTTGGCTCCTGCTATTTTGCTGCTCATCACTGCCTCCCCACTCTACGCAGACCCTTCAGCTCCCACAACGACATCCTCTTCCTCCAGAAGGCCAGCCCACCTTTCCCCAGTCTAGCTTCCTCCCCGACCAGCCTCAGATCTCCCCAGGGCCTTCAATCAACAAACTCCATGGGCATCTATGGAGTCCCTTCTCTGTGCCAGGAAATTCTGCCTCCCCCTCCCACCCCCGGGCTCCCAAGGACAGAAGCTGGCACACAGTCAGTGCTCCATAAATGTACAGAATGCTTTCCCTCTTTTTCCACCTGGCAAACTCCCATTCATTCAGCAGAGATTTCCTGAGCATCTGCTGAGTACCAAGTACTGGGGACACAGCAGGGAACAAAATGCCCAAAATAACCTGCCTTCATAGCCCTTACAGTTCCAAGTTGGGAAGATGCATGGTAAACAATAAAAATAAGTAAAATATATATCAGAGGAGGTAAGTGCCAAAGAAGTAAAGCAAAGTAAGGGATAGGAGAGTGGGTCTCACATGAGGTAACACTTAAACAGAGACGAATAGAATGAGGGGAAACAACCTCCTGGAAATCTGACAGATGAGTGTTTCAGGCAGAGGGCACAGTCTGTGCAAAGGCCCTGGGGTAGGACCCTGCCTGGCATGTTGGATGAACAGCCAGGAGGCCCGTGTGACTGGAGCAGAATAAGGGACCAGGGGAGGAGGGGATGGGACAGGTCCTGCAGGGTCTTGTGGGCCTCGGGGAGGACCTGGGCTTTTACCCCAGGGAGGTGGGAGCCCTGGAGGGCTGTGGGCAGAGGACGGCAGGACCTGACTTCATTCTAACAACCTCTGGTCCCGGAGGCCTTCCCCACCTGCCTGGGCAAAGCCCCTGTTCACCCTCCCAGCTCCCAGCCCCCAATCCCTCCCAGCCCAGCCCTGATCAGTCAGGCCTGGCAGCAGTCCTGTCCAGTTCTTCCCCCAACCCCGGCAGCCACGGGGGCTTCTCAGAGGCTGGGGTCAGAGAGGAGGGAGGCTTACAGCACAGGAGCATCGCGCATGTGAGGGGCAGTCACTTCCCTTTCTTGGGGGGGCTGGGATCTGTGA